AATAATACCCTGTCAATCTGCAAGATTTAAATTTAAAATATCTAATAGTTGTTAAAGTCAAACTTCACCACCAAACATTAGAATTATTATTATTATTTTTTTTTTATTGATCGCAAAAAATAACATCCACAACAAAGGCCATTAGTCACAAAGGTTTTTATACTAATTAAGTGTCTTTGTTGATTTGCTATTTTTACAATTAAAAACTACCTGATTTTTTTTAAAATTATTATTTCTCCCATTTACGATTAATCAATTATACTAATATAGCATACTAAAACTTTATTTTAATTAAATGTTACAATATTAAAATTAATATTCCACATGCAATATTGTTTTCAATAAATAATCTCTTATATTTTAAGTAATACTCACGGATACTAAAGACCATGTTTATCCCACCAAACCGATAGGAAAATTAAAACTGACATCAATAATCTCTTACAAAATTGTTATCACACACACTTATAATTACTAATATCTTTTTCGTTTCCTATTTTATTATACTGTACGGAATYGCTCTTATTTTATTTTGTCCATCATCCAACTGAAATCTTATWTATAATCTTATTTATATGCATTTAAATTGAATATAACACATTCAAACCAATCGTAGAGTAAGATAATTAGGTATAAAAAAATTAAGCTAAATAATAGGTATTAACTGGGTTACAAGTTTATTAACAAATATGCTATCTTCAATATTTTGCTTACGCAAAATAAATAATTTATTTTTTTTATAGTTGGTATACTTATTTTCGTATCAACCTCTGAATTAATTAATACAACTCAAAATAGCACTAAATAAAATTCCTGCCAGTTTCGTTCGAAACTCAACTGTTTTACTTTATGTACTGTTGTAATTGTCTTTTCCAATTATAATTTTATGAACAATGGTATGTATTTTTTTTCTACCAGCAATCATTGAGCTGTAATTATTATGCACCAAAGCGATCTTTAAATAAAAACGAACTTAAACGATCTCACAAAAAAAGGTAGTTCTAAAAGTTTTAGGATGTAATTAATATTWTGTTGTAATAATAATGTACCTATGTATGTTAATTATCTAAATATCTAAAATTTAAAAGACTAATGGATTAGAGTTACGTACAACAATATAGTAACTATATTATAATTTTATAATGCAAATTTTTTTAACAAATTGTGTTTCTTATAATTTYATACAGTGGACAAAAAAGTCTAAAGTAGACATACCTATGATTTTAAAATATTATTATCTAATCGAGAGCTCACACTAAGATTGTTAATAGTTTTTTGAATGCAGAATAGGAATCTGAWAAATTATAAAATGTACTCTCCATAAAAATATACATCAAAATAGGAATCATTCATAGTTTATGACAAATAATTTATCTAATAAATATAGGAATCTAAATTATAATAATAATCTAAAAACAATGATAATAAATTCATACAAAAAGAGTGCTTTTCAGCAACTTAATCTAGGAAAATTAAATTGTTTTATGTTCAATAAATAATATTTAACAATACAATTTTATTTTTCATTTTTTACACTAAGTTGAATCAATATTGAACTGAAAAGTAAGTGTAGAAACTCTATATTTGAGATATTTTCTGCAGACAATCATGTTTCTCACTTTTCCTTTTTTTATTTTTATTTTTTCACAATAGAGAACGAAATATAAACAGAATCAGACAATTTCTCATAACATAATATTTTGTATTATTTTTCTATAGGTATTTAATAATTGATTTTAAAATTTACGTTGTATAAAAAGAAGCTCTTTTTAAAGATAAAAATCAGTCAAATTGAATTTATTCAATAAATTGGATAAGCTTTAGGTTAATATGACATATTGAAAAGTAGCTTAGCTTGATTAATCTGTTAGTTATTGTAGTGGATTGAATGAATCTATGCATACACTTATTTTATAATAATAAGACTACTTAAGAATAATCAACAATAAAATATTATCATTATTAATATCATATAAGTATTTATGTTTTTGGAAAAGCTAATACACACTCACAAAAATTAAAATAAAACCAAAAATGAAAAAAATAAAATATTTATTTAATAGAGTAACTTTAGTATCCACCTAGTAGACTATATAATCGACACAAAGTAAAAATTTAAATTTAAAAAAAAAATACGGACTAAAACAAACACAATGTAATACTATACATATTTGTGAAATATATTTTTAAACTTGGAATTTTAAATTTATGTTTAAAGAGTTTTTCAGAAATAAATAAAGTTCAAGCATGAACATATTCACTGTAGAATGCATTCTAGAGTAATTTTACGATTCATCAAAATATCAAATACAAAAAATTCAACGCATTATCAAACGAAATTAATTCATTAAATTGACAATAAAAACGTTAATTTCACAAAATATATTTTTTCACCTATTACCAAGTATAAGTATTAATTGGAAACTATTAAACAAATTTATACTTAGTTTTTATGAACTGATTAGGTTTCTTGTTCGATACCAAATGTAAATTGACTTTAAGGCCTAGGCCACGGTCTCCAAAGTATAATAATTAAATTTYAAAGGAGTTTTTACGATAGTGCGATCTCATAGCAGTTAGTACCGTATACAATTAAATGATCCCAAGGTAGTAGAACGGTTTAAAAGCCTACTAGGGAGTTTTAAAACAGAGACATTGTTCATTCTCTTTTTGAAAATAAAATAGCTATTAAGCTACCTACCAACTATAGTTTTATAATTCTACGTGGAATAATAGAAAATACAAAAACAAAAATATTTCTGATTTTTTTTTAACTACAATTAATGTACTTTAAAAATATTTTTGAGTGTACAGATGAAATCTAATATACTATATTGCTCTAATATATTTGTTTTGACTTTTTAGTATTGTAGAGATTTAAATTACATGATAATAAAATTATTTGTATCAGTTATATTTTTGTATAATATCTTTTACAACAGAAAATCCCTCTTACATGATCTGAACTTTTAAGAAAGTAAAATATATTATGATACATACTACATAGCGGTATAATTCTGTATAAAAGTTTTATTAAATAAACTAAGCCACAGGCAAGAATATAGTTGGATGATAATACACTCCAGGGACTTAGAATCAGGTTAGAGTAAAATTCGTCATTGTTCGTGACTTAAAATTATAATTATAATTATTAATGAATGTTTGCCTGTTGACATTAAATAGGTATATGAACTGTTTCGTTTCAGACCTGATCGATGTAGAACAGAATCACAATAAGGAAAAAAATGAGATTATATATCTCTAAAAATATATATATTTAAGAAAAAATGTATGGATATTTTGAAATTTTATATATTATTAACTAGATAATAATAAAATGTATTATACTCTCCAAGAAATGATTTTTTTTTAATGTTTAAGTGAACTTTGTACAAAGTTGTTATTTATAATTTTATGTTCTTCATTAAATAAAAAAAAAAATAACGGAACATTTTTTTTAGTGCAAAAGTCAATCAATAAATTGGGTTTCGAAAAATAGTGATGTAGACAGTTTATTGAAGATATATCTATAACCATTTAAACACTATTATTATTCTACGAATGGAAATTTATAGATTGCACTAATAAATACCTATTATAATAGATTGATTGTGGTAAAATACATCAACGATTGATTAATAGTAAAGTTGATGAGTTCAGTAGTACCAATGGAGCGAACACGAAACAACTAAATCAAAAATGTTGTAGGCGTTATATAAATATAGTTTTGTATGCTAAGAAACCCTATTAGCAGTATTAAACCAATTTGTGGTAAATATTTTGCCAATCGACTACAAATTATTCACACAGTACGTATATTTTAAACAAAATATTGTTTTTGGTTAAAAATAATATTATACTTTCATAAAATGCGTGCATATATTTTATATGATATACAAGCGATGATATTAAAATAGATACCCATATCGAATAAAGTGAGCTAAAGAACATATTTTACTATAGCAAATACCTTTACATAGGTACGTCMAATTATTTTTAAAGAAATATAGAATGCTATGATGTCTCATATAGGCTAGAGTCTAGGTTGATGATTAATATTTTTAGAGGGACATTTGAGGAATTCGAGGTTCCATCAAAATAGTTAACCTACGTTTGAAATCGTATGAAAGTTACAAAAACCTCCATTTCACGTTTACGGTTCAAAAATATTTTATAATAACAATTTAACAACATAAAACTTTTCAACCAAATAATTTCGTCCACGAAACCCATATTCGGGGCGACGATGGTTAGGGTGTGGGGGTCGAACAATGACCAGCGAGTAATATAACAGAGCGTGCTTACTGTGAGAAAATGTCCAAGTCGGAACTTCCTGGTAGCACGAGACGAGGTAACACCATGCCGGGACGTAACTTCTTGCGAGACCTGCATGTGGTCGCGGAGTTGGAGGCGGTTGCAGAGGTGAAAGTGGAAGATGCGGCCCCTGTTGAGTGAGACGCGAACGACGTGGACGACGACATGGCAGCCGCCGTGGATGACGTGCAAAAGTGCCAAGCGGTCTCGGTGGACGCCGACGTCGAGTAGAAGGCCGCGGGAGTGGTCGGTGTATGCGTGTGTGGTGACAGGATGGTCAAACGGCGCTCGCATGACGGCAAAGCAAGTGACAGGTGTGACGGCACAGACGTCCGGGTGGACGCAAACATGCCACGCCGGCGGTCAGCCATCTCAGCGACAGCAGCCGTGGCCGCCACGTCATCCAGGCCGCTATCAAGAGATTTGCGGTCGTCCGCGGCCATTATGAAGCTAGTTCGGTGCTGGTGGTGCGGCGTGGACGGTGGTTGGGGGGACGGCAGGCACTCCATCGACCGACTTGTGCCGGCCACCGCGTAGCCATTGCCACCCGTATCCGCTGACAGCCAGCGTCTCCTATTCTCTCCGGCTACCGTGATGGTACCGCCTATACCACCTACGGCCACGCAACCACAGTTGTTCATCGTCATTGGCCTGCGGGCAGCGCATGGTTCCTGGCAACTGTAACCACGACGCACCACTGCCGACCGTTTTCGCGGTGACCGGTCACCATCAGCTGAAGCCGCACCCACCGTTAGACGTCCGTCCTCGTCCTCTTCAAGTGTCGATGCTGCGGTTACMACTTTTTGCCTCTGAAGTGGTCTCCAACCAACGCCACCATTGCCACCAGCCGCTGATACTTCGATCGCTGCTGATGTCGACTTGTATGCAGACGGTGACGACGGTCTTCCATCTTCAYGTTCTGTCGCCGGCGCCGAGTGCCACTTTACGGCCGACAGTGAAGCCTTACTGCTACTGTCGTGAAGGATCTTCTGGTCATCCACGCTTTTGGAACCAGCCGTTAGGAGGGGCGGTTTAGTGAGACTGCCGCTCGACATTGGAATTTGGTCGTTTTTGGAAGTCATTTTTAATGTCACGATGAGCTATTTTGTATTTCTTTGCTTATTTTAACCTACACACGTGATGAAGGTAATTTGATGAGCCTAAAATACATAAAAAAAAAACGACATTGGGAACGGCGAAAATGAAACGAAATTATTTTATCACACTAATGAATTAGATTTCCCGACCCATACCCACACATATTCACCCGCATTATGTTGGCTTTATTTTCAAATACGATTTTAGATCCAGTGAGTATAGAAATTGGTTTCAATTAATCGATACCTATTTTTAGCAAAATTTTTTAACAACAAAAAATACGCAAATACTTGAAACTGTGAAGGTTTGCATAAATTATTRCATCACGACAATAAACTTTCGTCATTTTGAAGTGATTTTGGTAGCTGTGACAGATTTTTGGGYTGTTTTCCGTTAACGAAGCCTAATTCATTTCGTAGATCTGATTGGGAATGTCATAGATAAATTAATATGCATTCCATACCTTAACTAAGACCCCCCCCCTCAAAAATTAGTTAACCTTTAAAATTTTAGTTCCAGAGAATGTAACTTGTCAATTTCTATTCGATCAAAGAACACGTAAAATACGTCAAGAAAAAACAATAATGTCATGTAAACAAAATAAAAACGAATTATGAAAAATAAGTCGTATATAAAACAACACAGCACGCTCACCGATATTTTGACGATCCAACTCTTCGTAAAAAATATATAAAACGGATCATTGGTTTCATCAGTTAGAGTAAACGATGACAGAAAATATGACACAGCCAGACATTAAAAAGTCAACAAAARCAAACAATACGTTGAAACGTGAAATGTGAAACAGCGGCCATTTGTGTAGATTATTTCAGCTCACCAATGGGTTTTGGTCATGTTTCAAAGTAATTTTGTTAGTTGTTACATTTTTGAGTCTCCCTTTAATTTATGAAACCTATAGGCTATAGTTTACTCTGTGCACATAATCAAGAGTGTCGAAGATAAAATATGAAATATACAATTCTTTCCATATGCAATACGCTCATTTAGACCACTCTCTCCACCCAAAGAAAAAAAAAATTATGTCATACTTAAAAAAAAAATATTAGATCCAGAGAGTGTGGCCGTTGAAAAATGTGACAAAATAATAAAAATACCTTTTATATGCTATAAAAAAAACCAAACACAAAAACGAATTTATTATGAAAAATTCGTTAAATGTTATAACATTATTACAACGCAGTCTGTTTATCGATATTCTGATGGAATATAACCCTGTKCAAAAAATAATATATACTCAACCGTTTGTTCYATCAGTGAATAAACGATAATAGCGATTATGACATGGTAAGATATCGGCAAACCGAAAAGCTATAAATATTTTATAAGTGTTTATTACACGGTTTTTGTTCTTTTGTTCAGTGTTACACGTATATGGTCATTGAACAAACAAAAACTCATTACAATCGCGAATAAATATATTTTAGTGGCATGATAATATGTCTTACAGAAACAGAGTCTAATGAAAAATGTGCTTGGCTATAGTTTCCTACTACACATGGCATTCGAGGTATGTTTGTCACTTAATAATTAAGAGTTTATTTACGAAATGTTTCATTTTGTTTTATACAGATGACTTGACTTGGCTCATAAATAATTACTCTGTACAAATCGAACATGTGGAATGGAATGAGATACCATCGTTGACTGTTAAATGCTATCACATACTTTACCGATTTGAATTTAATTATTAATTAATGATTACATTCTTGTGTTCAATATTTATCATATTTTATAATTTTAATTCAGATATGTACTGTTATTAATTTACAAAAAATTAAGTGTGTACAAAACGCATACGTGAATAATATATGTATGCAAAAAATAAAAAGTTTGATAAATATATTTAAATTAATGAACTATTACGATGTGGTTTTTCATTGGAATTGTAAAAATAATAATAAATTTGAATTCTGAAAATGAAGAAAATCTTATATTTTACTGAAAATGTGTGCAACGTATTACTCATTTCGAATATCAAACAATTTGTTTCTCATTTATAAGTATTTAAAATGTATACAAATGGAACACAGTGACACTGGATATATAATATGTATTATTGATCGGTTATACTATGTAAATCGCTAGTACACGACTTAACTATTTACAAATGAGAAACTAATGGTTCGACGTTGAATGGTTGATGACGAAAAAAAAATATGAACATTTTTTTAAATTACTGGAGTGATTGGTATCAAAAGAATAGAATATATTTGTAAATATGAWGTCTGATAAAATGTTATGTTTAGTATTGCTTGTAATCATTTAAAATAGTAGGTATTTACATATAATTTAAAAAATCCTGCTTTTTTGCATTTTTAGATGATAATTTTAAATATTATCTTTTTTCTTCTTACGTTTTTTTTTTATATCTCAAGGCATGTTTTTATCTTCTTAGAATTTAATTAGCGTTGCTTAATCATTAAGTTATACAACTTTACAAACGAATATGAAAGAGCCTGTTTTTCGTCTCACTGTAATTAAACTTTTAACGTCAGTATTTAAGCTATATACATTTAGTAAATACTTCTAATGATACATATAAGATTCAAATGTGGTAGACAAAGTATACAGGGTGTCCCGCGAGGATTTTTCYAATGCGATGTCTCAGGAAATAATGGAGATATCAAAATTCTAGTTTTGTTATGAGAGTCACAGGGATAAGGACTASAATTATTTCAATTTTAAATTTATTTTAATGTTTTGGTACAAAATTTCAAAAATATATTTTTTCATTTAATTATTTTCAAAAAAAAAAAAATAAATAAATAAAGAGAGCCATTATGTGGATTTTATTTTTCTGAAAATATTGACRTTTYAAWATTTTRTTTTYATTAATTTCCTGATTTTTGATTTTTTTTTTAGTTTCGAGAAAAATTGCGAATTATTTAACACCGTAGTGTTATCAAACCATGTGAAACGTCGCGCCGTGCCGAACGACTTCAGTGTGCTTAATTATAATCATATTTTATTTCTTCAAATCTAGAAAAATATTAAAAATCAGGAAATTAATAAAAATACAATTTTGAAACGTCAATATTTTCAGAAAAATAAACTACAAAATGGCTATCTTTAATATTTTTGGAAATAATTAAATAAAAAAATAGATTTTTAAACATTTTTACCAAAACATTAAAATTAATTTAAAAATGAATAATTGTAATTCTTATACCTATGAATCTCATAACAAAACTAGAATTTTGATACCTTCATTATTTTGTGAGATATCGCAATGGGCAATTCCTTGTGGTACACTATGTTTATTTTTTTAATTACAAAATGCTTAATTTTTATAATGTTTCTGAATTATTTTTGGTAAGTTAAGTAACAGACTCGATAACTACTTCAACCGCAGAAAGGGTACCTAAAAAGRTACACATCGTTTGCACTATACAAAAACATGCATTTCGATTGCGAAACATTTATGTGAACGGCCGTGGTGAAATAATTCTACAAATTGTATTCGTATTTAAAATCGTACGATTTCATACCGTACCGTATTCCACGATATAGGTCCTTCTATGCTACTCTTTTGTCATATTTGTACAGAATCTACCACAGTTATAATATATGATATTGAAATCCAGGATTTGCTGGCGGCAATGTTAAGAATCCCAAAGTAATCCCTAGCYCTGTAGGATGAACTGAGCACGTTGGCCGTAAAGGGCAAAATGTTGAAGAGCAAATCCCCATGCCGAAACGATGTGTGGCTCGACAAATCTGCAAAGTAAAACGGTAGCGAATATGGCTGATGGCATGGTATGGGGGGGGGTCATTTGAATTGCAAATTCAAAGGGCCCGGTGGGTATTTTTCGTCTCTCGGAGGTTACTGTTCCTACAAAGCAACGAACCAATTACCCGTGTACACACTTTTGAACAGAAGTTTACGTGTCGGGTGCCCGGATAGATTATTATCGGAAAATCAATTTGAAGCGGAGATATCACTGAACAAAAGCATAAATAACTCAGAGGGCGTTTTTAATTTATACCACGAGGGTCATGCTACACACGGAAACTAAGTTTTCAAGCAATAGATAAAACACGTTACGATTTTGCGCAATAAAAGAAAAAAATAATAATAATAATAATAGAAAATTAGAAATATATCCATATGTACAATATTTTATGTTAAACACTTACGGTACGGCTATTTTTATACACCATACGATAAAATAAAAAGACTACGCCAAACAGTAGTATAATTAATGTATTAAAATAAAGATTTTTAACGGACACCATAAAATAAAAATTTTAACTTTCGATGCATTTTTTTCCAACGTTTAACTTTATAACTACACGAATCAATGAACTAAATAATCATTAGTATAAAAACTACTTTGGTCATAACAATGATATTATTTATGTTTTTATTCCATACAAGTAAATGTGTGAAACTAAGTGTGAATTTAGTAAAAAAAACTTTTAATGATAGCTTTATCGAATTAAAAATGTTTTAAAATAATTTTCATTTAATAATATTATATTCATAATTTTATCAGAATATCATGTTATTAAAAGTATAAAATAATTATTAATTATGGATCTATAACATTGCATTTTCATTTAAAATTAATTTAATCAAAATCTATAAAGCGTCTTACATGTAGTTCGTTTGATTATTATTTCTTAAGACATCCTGAACATGATTGTTCAACAAATTAAAAGAACTTAACTTGCACAA